TTTTTTTTTTTTTTTAATAAAAGTGTTTTTTAAATGCCTTGTAGATTTACCAGACCAGAGCACTTAGGAAGCAGTGCCAAGATCAAGTGTAGCGGTTGCCATAGCTACCAAGAGTCCACTAAGCAGCTCACCATGAAGAAGCTGCCCATTGTGGCCTGCTTCCATCTCAAAGTGAGTTTCTCAGAAAACCAGCCACAGGGCCAGTCTTGCATTAGCCTGCAGCACAGCCTTAAGCTCACCAGTGCACCAGCCGCAGGAAGCAGGAAGCAGGGTTGCCTCCTGCACTTTCCGTCTCTTGCTGACAAAGAAGGAGCTGCCATAGGAGGTGGGGTTACAGCTCAGTACTTCTGTCTCTGCCAGCACAGGCCAGAGGAGACATCAGATGTCCTGCACTGTAATTTGCCACCCTCTTGCATAGAGACTTGATTTCTCACTGAACCTGGAGTTAGGCTTGAGTTGGCAAGCCCAGTGACCCTCCTGTCTACCTCCCACCGCGTTGGGGTTACAGGCGCACCACACCGCTGGCATTTTATGTGGTTGCTAGGGATGTGGACTAAGGTGCTCAAGCTTGTGCAGCAAGCACTCTTAACTGCTAAACCATCTTCCCAACTCCTGTTTTAACCTTCCATTTCACTTAAAAACAGGCCCAGGCTAGGAGGTGTGAGTTGGTGGTCGAGGTCTTGCCTAACATGCCCAAGGCTCTGAGTTCTACCACAGAACTGCAGAAAGAAAGGTCCAGAAAACAAACTCTAGTCTGAGTCTAGTTTAGAGTCAACAGGTAGGCAGTCAAGGGCAGATAGTAGGTAGCAGGAATTTGAGTCTGGGGTGTCTGTGCACCATATGTGTACCTGATTCCCACAGAAGCCTGAAGAGGGTGTCAGATCCTCGAGGACTGGCATGACATGAGCCAGTATGTGTGCTGGGAATCAAAACAAGGTCCTCTGGTAGAGTAGCCAGGGCTAGTGTTTGAGTCTTTAAAGGCTACATATGGTCTGTTTCCTATCCTTTAAAAATGTGAACGATCAGTTTGTGCTTGGTAATATACAACTGTAATCTCAGCATTTGGGAGGGGGTGCAGGAGGGTCCTGCAGTGTGTGGCAGCCTGAGCAGGCTTGTGAATCAGGAAAACCAATCAGGACAGTAGAAGCTGTTGGCTGGCCTGTGGGCTTGGTCACCTGGCTATTGCTCACTCTGCTCACTGTGCCCTGCTCCCTTATCTCTGCAGAGATTTGAACACTCAGCCAAACTTCGGCGGAAGATCACCACTTATGTGTCTTTTCCCCTGGAATTGGACATGACGCCCTTTATGGCCTCCAGGTAGAAAGGGTTGGTGCCCCTGTGTCTGTGTGGGGAGGCAAGTTGTCTGGTGGGTGCTCACCAGTGCCAGCTTTTAGACACGGTGATGACAGCTGTCTAGGCCTCACGCTGCCCCGGACTTCCCTGATCTTACTGTGGGCTGCCCGTTTGTGCTCTACATCCTTCATCCTTCATCAGCGTTCAGACTAGGCCGATCATCAAGATAAGGTTACAGGCATACCACATGGGACACTTTTGGTTGATGGAGACAGATTTTGAAATACAGATAAACAGTGTCGATTGTCTTCCTTGAGATCAAATCCTGTATATCACAGACTGTGTCAAATTTAACCCTCTTAAAAACTACAGTGCTTGCTGATGTGTTTGGTTTACTCTCTGTGGAGGCAGCTGTAAGTGTGGTGGCTTTACACAATAGAAATTTATTTTCTCGCAATAGAAGCCAGAAATATGAAACTTGATGAGAAGGATCCTGACAGGGTTCCCTCCTAGATTCATCTAGCTCCAGGAGGATCTGGGCCCTTGTCTGTCTGATATTACCCTGGGCCAAGGCCCTTCCTGAATCTGTGACCCAATCGTTGGTCTGGTTCCTAGGTACTAGTGGTTAAGGGTAGGGCCGTCTAGACAGCCTCATGGCAACATCCTCTATCCCGTTTGCACAGGTTTTCTAAATGGGTCACATTTGCTGTTCTGGGGTAGATTCAGGCAGTACACCTCAGAAGCCACACCTCAGCCCACTATACTGTCCTGAGCAGGCTTCCTATTATTAGCCATTGGTGCCCCTCCTTGTAGCTGTAGTCCTGGGTTCATAGGTCAGTGCTTGAAATGGTATCATAGACCATCAGAGTTATCTCATTGGAAAATTGGGTAGTCACATATCTAGGGATGAAGTAACATTGTTCCTGATATCAAGGTCTCACGGGACTTACTGTCTTCTGCTTATTTTGGCTGTAGGTAAATACACCAAACTAGTTTAAAACTTGGTATTTCCTGTTCAGCCCCCTCCTCCCATTCCACCCAACCTATTGCTAGTTAGCTACTTCATGATATCACTTATGTTCTTTTAAGGGTGGGGCTAACTTACACATAGCCTTTCATTTGGTTTGTTACAAGCAAAACTTCACAAGCCAGTATCAAGAAGTCCCTGCTCAGCAAGTGGCTTCAGGGTCCATGGGGATGGGAGTGTAGAGAGGTGCACCAACACTAGGAGGCCAGGAGCTGCAGCCCAAGCTAGATATCTCACCACCACATGGGGGCAGTCTGCCGAAGAAAACTGGTTTGATGGAGTACACCTTCGTATCAGTTAATGCTGTTGTAAGAGCCTATGTCTGTGGGGAGGTGGTGATTATGGTTTATTACTGTTCTTACAGCAAGGAGAGCAGGATGAATGGGCAGTACCAGCAGCCCCTGGACAGTCTCAACAATGACAACAAGTATGTGGGGTGCAGGGTCTGGGGCAGGGTGAGCTGCCATTGTGGTCTCTGCCCATGGCATGTAGGGAAGGGGACATGCTCAGCTGCCATTTCTCAGGCCACCCATCTGTCCTTCCTCTCTGAACAGTCACCCTCCTGGTGGCAGCCCCGCTGTAGAGGGCTGATGAGGGTCTGATGAGGAGCTCAGCGCACTGAATCTGCTGCTTATGGCCTGGTTCCTCTTGCTATTGGTAGAACAGGCAAATGGCACCCACCAGAATAGTTACTTCCACAGCGGTTGCCACTGCTGCCACCACTTGAATTCTGTGTGGTTCTGGAATTGTCTTTGCTGGGCCAGAGCTGAGTGATGCAGAATTGGCTCTCTCAACTCTGCAGCCAGCATATTCTGTTTTAGTTTGGAGGTGTTCTGTCAGTTCAACAGACCACAATTGAGCTGTCCTTTCCTTTCATACCAGGTACTCCTTGTTTGCTGTCGTTAACCATCAAGGGACCTTGGAGAGTGGCCACTACACCAGCTTCATCCGGCAGCACAAAGACCAGTGGTTCAAGTGTGATGATGCCATTATCACCAAGGCTAGCATCAAAGATGTGCTGGACAGCGAAGGGTATGTCTGGGGGTGGGGCTGGAGGAACCCTGTGCTAGTGCTTGTCCATCACTCCTGTCTGACCAAACCCAGTGGCTTGGCTGCTCTGCCACACTGTGCATATTCACCTTAGTTTAGTTTGGCTTTATTGCTGAGGGGACAGTGGGTCCTTGGATCAGAAGTTGCCTGTAGGTCATGATTCCAGGGTGAGGGCATTGCTGAACAGAGTTGCACCTCTAAATCAGAGAGTGCTGTGGTCAGCGTTTGTCCTGACCATGCCGTGCAGTGGTTCTGGATCTGCTTCTCTGCTGCTTTTGTTACTCAGGATCCATTTTTCACCTTGAACCTCCTTGGGATTCCTGGCCCCGGGGACAAGGTAGACCACCTGCCGCAGATGCGGGTGGTGCATGGGAGGCTCTGGGCCCTGGGATCCCTGGGAGAGGAGGCATCATAGAGAAAAGAGTGTGCTACTAGACAGGGACCCTGCATGAGGGAGTGCCACTGTGAACAGAAGTAATGACTATAGGAAGTCACCAGGGCCGCAGTGACATACTCCCTAGTAAGCGTGGTGGTTACGTTGGGTGATGGGAATCAGGCAGCGTCTTTCTTGAGAGGCTACAGTAGCCATTCAAAAATTCAGCCACATGAACCATTCCTGACTGGCATAGGCTGTCTTGGGAATTAGGACTAAACTCACTTTCCCTTCACCTCCACAGGTACCTACTCTTCTATCACAAGCAGTTCCTGGAGTACGAGTAGCCTCCTGCCTTGCTGGCCAGAAAGAGAGAGAGAGAGAACAAGTTGGCAAGCTTCTCGACATGATCCCTGTTCCCCCGCATCAGAACACCATGGTATCCCTCCTGTGCAGGCGAGCCTCACATGGCCGGCCTGCACTAGGGGATACGTCAGGTGGGACGTAGGAGCTGAGTGGAGCGCGCCCTTGATGGAGGGGAGCTGCCTCACCAGCACCTGCCTTCAACCCTGTAAGCTGGGGATGGATGTCTTCAGAGCAGACCAGCCTCTGCCTGGTGCTTCCCCCGCCATCCCACATGTGTTTAAAAAGCACCTGCCTCCTTGAAAATGAGCCCATGGAGCTATAGAGTGGGCAGAGGTGATGCCAGAGGGCAGAGTGCTTGCAGCAGCCATCTGGCATGAAGGGCAGAAGATGTGTCCCTTTCTAAAATTGTTGTAAGATAACCCCCGGGCCCAGGTTGAGGCCACCCACAGGCTACAAACACATCGTCCTACAGATAATGTAGCATCAGCTGCATGTGGAGACCCAGCTCCGAGGCTCCCTTTGTTCTCTAGAAATAGGCGTCTTCTTACCTCTACCCTGTTGCTCTTTTCCACAGTGGTGAGTTTCATAAACGTGATAGTGACGTGAATGATTGATTATTGAGTTTATATGGAATTCTAGATGATGCTCTTCCCTTCTGAGAGCATGTCTTGCTTTTTGATCAGTGTTGTTTCCTTGCCCTGTACCCTGCCTTCCTTCCCATACAGTCAGCTGGTGGCCAGGCAGTGGATCAGGGTCCCTGTTATCTTGATCTTTGCAGCAGATTCCTTGGTGGTTCCATTGACCCAATCTTCTTTCTTCTTCGTCTCTGGTCTCTTTGCCTGCCCAGGGAGGCTTAGTGGCTGCGTGAGATTTGAAGCTGAGTGGTTCAGGTGGAGACTACATTGCATAGTGTCACCCACTTGCCTCCATTCTGTGTTCACTGTAGTTTCAGTTACAGCCAGAATAAGAAGACTCCATCACCAGTTCTGCTTTATTGTAAGATATTTTGCATGTATTTTTCTCTGAACAAGGCCTAGGTTGTCCACTTCTAAGAAACTGAAATCTAGGGTCTTGGTGTTTCTCCTTACACCACTGCCTTTTCAGTGGTGCTTGCCCAGGAGCCTGTTGGCATCCACCCCAGGAGTTTCAGGACAGTAAGTATTTCCTAAGAGCTAGGCTCTGAGCTGTAGGTCCATAGCAAGTAACACGTGCATCGTGTTTGCATAGCAAGTATGGCTGTGATTTAAATTACATATAATTATGTGTACAGATTTTTTTTTTTTTTACTATTTGAAAATAAGATTTTTTTTTTCACTTACAGGCTATAAAAGAGAGCAGTACAGGGTCCAGCCCAGCTCCTTAGCTAATTGTGATGGAGTGAGGTTGCTGTGGCAGAACTAAGTGGCTGCTGCTCAATCGGTGTGAAAAATCACCTGAAGTCAGGGGCAGCAAAAGCTTTGTCATGTGGTTGACACTTGCCCTGGTCTTCTCTGGTGTGTTTCTGTTTCTGCAAGTAAAGAGCATACTTGAAGCATGTTTTAGAAAAATCCTTTTTTCGAGTATGGCTGAGCCTAGATTCTCAGACATGGACCCATGTTTGTGGGACTCTGCTATGGAGATGCCCTTGGGGCAGCACATTGTATTTGAGTAAGTCCACATGAAAGACTTCACTGCAGTTGCCTAGGGAACAAGAGCCCCAAGCTTCCTGAAGGTCTGCCTCCTTGACACTCCAGTGGATGGGACATCCAGAGCAGGGGAGATGAGCAGGTGTGCTGGCCAGGCCTGCTTCCTCTGTCCCCACAGCACACAGCCCATTTCTTCCTGTATTTGGGGCACTAAGGAGGACATCAGCTGTTTTCTGTCATCATGACTTTAACCTTTTATATCTGAAAGCATTCCCCTCCTTCACCATAGTTTTAACATTCTAAACACTTAACTCTACCTGTGGCAAGGTCAACCAACTCCATGACTGCCACACATCCATCTGGCCCTACCTCTCTGTCCTGGGTCCTCAGCATGGTGTCTCCACTAGATAGGTGTGTGTGGATGACTAAGGAACAGTGTACTTGAGCAATGGGCTTGGGAAGTTCTTTCAGTTCCCATTCTGGATAGCAAGGCAGGAGAAGGGGGTTTCCTATCCAAGAACCACCTAGTATATGTGCTCAGATGGTCACAAAGTGCATCTCACCACAGGGCTGCATTGCCCACCCCTAGTCTAGAGCAGTGAGCAGACCTCTTCATAGACCACTGGTGCCAGCTTCACAGCAGAGTAAAGTAGCCTTCTTGAAATGTCCTCAGTGAGAGGTTAAGGCGTTAGATTGGCTCTGCCATGCCTCTCCATCCCAGAAGTCCCCTCAAGCTGGGCACTACCTGAGCGTCCCACACCATGTGAACCTGCTGTGTTTGGCTCAGTGTGTATGCTTTTCCTTGTGTAAAATCATTGTTCTTTTTTACAAGTGGCTTGTTTCATTTATTATAGCTTTGAAATCAAAAATTGTGAGGAAAAAAATCCAATGATTGTACTGTGGTTAGAAGTTTTATTACTAAGACATTTATGTCACTTTTCTTTCCCTTGTCATTTTTAGGGGCTATTTGACTCCTCCCTAATGGCTTTTAGTCTTTCCTATACCATAATAAAGCTGCATTTTATTCTGAAACCTGACTGTTTACCTCATTACTAACACAGACAGCCAAAATGTGGGTAACAGCAGGCAAGGTGGTAGGGTGGGCTAGCTCTGGGTTCCCTGTGGGTAGAGATGTCCTGTACTCCACCTGCTCTGTAGTGGATCAACTGTTTCAACCCTCCTGCCTGGTGGGCATGGAGGCCACACATTAATCCCTGCACTACAGAGGCAGGCAGATCTCTATGGTCTGCGTAGCAAGGTCCAGTCAGCCAGGGTTACACAGCAAGACCCTGGCTCAAAAAAACAAAAGCAAAAAAAAGTAAGTGAGGTAGCAGCACTCAGTAGCCAGGTCCTTTGGGGAGGGGTGTGGCTGCATGTCCAAGCAGAGCCGCAGATGCTGGCGTGCCCCTTCTGATTCCAGCCTCAGCCAATTAGGCATGCCCCTTCCCCCCCACTCCAGCCTCAGCCAATCAGCTCCTCACTTGGACCCTTGTCTCAGAAGCCACTGAGATCTGAAATTCTGGCCTCCTGTTTTGGATGTCCTTATATGGAAATAGTCCAGAGAACTATGCCCCATGGAACCCGCAGTTTGTCTACTGTGTGGCACTGTCATCCGTTAGAACTTCCTCCACCCTAAGACCTTCAGATTAAGAACCATTCAAATTGTGGGTGTAGCTCAGAGGGAGAGCAAGTGAATTAACATTCATAATGTGGGTTCAGTCCCCAGCCTTGCCCCACAACCCCCTGAAAAAGTATGGCTGGAGAGATGGCTCAGTGGTTAAGAGCACTGGCTGTTCTTGCTGAGGACCCGAAGTTCAATTCCCTGTACCCCCATGGCAGCTGACAACAGTAACTCTAGTTGCAGGGTTTCTAACATCCTCATACTGACATACATGCAGGCAAAATACCAATAAATATAAAATCAAAATTATATTTTCTAAAAGCCCATTAAATTTATTTTCTAGGACAGGGGAAATAAGTCTGTGACTTAGTTTGTAAGCCTGATACTGAGCAGGTTTCATAATCCCCTCAGACCCACATGCTGTACTGGTTTGTGAGGTTCGAGCATTATGAAAATGTTTTCAGGCTAACGCCTGCCATACTCATCTCCACCTCTTCCCTTGAGCAGTTCTGTCTAAGTCTGGCCATCCTCTGCCAGGCTGGTGCAGAGCTGAGTGTGTAGTTGTGACTTACAAGCATGCTACATAGTGCTACTTGTTTTGATTATCTTTGGAATCTCAATATACCCAATCTTGAGAACTCCAGACACAGATTCCACCAGCAAAATAGTGGGAGAGGTGGGGCTGCAGCCAGGCATTCCCAGTAGCAGCCCTGGTCATGGAGACCCATCTGGAAACTGACAGCTTTTCCTTCCTTGGGCATCTGAACACTCAAGGAGACCAGTATCAATGTGGAAAAGACACCGCCTGCTTGGGCAGCCTCTTCTGTCTTCTGGATGGACCAGAGCTCATGTCTTAGGCCTGGGTCTGAGATGGTTGTTGGCTGCTTCAAGTGGCACCTTAGAGCTAAGTGCTCAGAATACTTGTTTGACTGTGGGATGATCCGATTGGCTCACCTGGCATCTGACATGCTTCCTGTCCCACTGAGTCCCAGGTAGTAAAAAGCTGTTTCTGATGAGGGGAGTGTCTACTTGTATTGTGATGTCTGTTTGCTTTGCTTGGGAATCTCAAGTTCTGTTCTGTAATTGTCCTGGCTCAAAAGGTTTTAAAGTGTCTTGCTATTTCCTTTTAAAAACAACAACAAAAACATATATGGATGTTTGCCCATGTTGTGTGCCTGATGTTCTCAGGAATGAAAGCACCCTTGGGATTGGTGCTATAGTTGATTGTGAGCCACCATGTGAGTGCTAGAAACCAAACCCAGGTCTTCTGAAAGAGCAACAAATGCTCTTAACCACTGAGCCATCTCTCTAGCCCCAAGGCTGGCTTATAACATCTAATCTTAGAATGTCACCCATGGGGTCTGGATGTTACATGATTCAGTGTGGTTATTGTCTCTGAAGACTCATACTGTAGTAGAAAGGCAGAGGGACCCTGCAGGCCCTGCTGGGAAGGTCTACTTGTTCTGGTGTCAAGGGAAAGGCATTAGCTGGGTGATATACGCATGCCTGGTGGCAGATATGACCCAGGTTACACATTATAGAGGAAAAGTTGCTGAGCAGCCGTAGGAATATCACAAAATGCACACACCTCGCTGGCCTCCCCTGATCCTTTACAGGAGCACTGATGTGTGGTGGGGAGAGACTGAGGGAGGCTGGCCCAGAAATAGAGGTGAGAAAGTCAGAAACAGAGACCGTGGATGAATAGAATTTTATCATCGTTGGGAAAATAGTTGCAGTAAGTAAGAGTATTCAGGAAGATAAGATTAAGAAAGACAAATACCAGGTTTTTCTCACATTTACAAAATCTAGGTATTTTTTAAAGACATGAACTTATAAGGGCAATGAATTGTGTAGGGAGACCAGTAGAATAAAAGTTATGAAGTCAGGGTGACTACCAAAGCACACTGTATACAAGTTTGTAAGAGCTGCAGCAAAAATAGTTTTATTCTAATAAAATAACTTTAAGGGGACTATGCAAATGGATTCAGGCTATATTGTACAGGCTGACCCAACACAACAGATAAAATTGACAAAAGAGCCTATTCTTTACAAACAGAAAGTAAAAGACGAAATTTACACAAATGACCCACTGAAAAGCTGACCAAAAATTCTCATGATTCTTTGAAGCCGAGGCTGGACTCTGCACCCTATGTTCTTGGTGTCTCTGTTCCCCTCTACCCTGGTTCCAGAAACATCTTGCATTTTCAGCCCCTTCAGTTCTGATGAGCAGAATTTTAAAACCACAGATCTTAAAGACTAAAAATCGGTTCATCTCCCAGACAGGCCAAGCACTGGAGTCTGCGTGCAATGGTGACAGTCCCAAGCCCACAACCAGCACATGCCTTTCTATCATTCCTGTTGTAGGAAGTTGATCATGGGAACGATGTAGGCTGGCTCAACGCATCATAGACAAGATCTTGTTAGGTGGCAACTTTTCAACAAAGACAAACTGATGGTCTCACAAGGCCTCCATTGTGGGTTGAATTTGTCCCCCAAAACTTATACTGAAGTCCCTAACACTTAGTGCTTGAATGTGGCCTTATTCAGAGATGGACTCTTTACGGAAAAATCAAAATGAAGATATTAGGCAGATCATAACATGGAATATAAGCGGGAGAATGGTCCCCGAGACAGAAGAGTGGAGAGGGACAGAGAAAATGACTACCAGCGAGTTAAAGAAGCCAAGAAACATCTTACATGTGTGGCCTCAGGAAGAGTCAATTCTGCAGACACCTTGACTGCAGGCTTCCAAACTCCGTGGACAGCCACTTTGTGCTGTTAGAATTGTTATCAGAGCTATTCTGTGGGTGGGAAGGATGAAATTTCACCGTGTACAATCTCATTCTTCAGCTTGCTGGGAAATGCTGCTGAGGGTATTTTTATGCACCTGGAGGTTTAAATGTGACTGAAAAGATAGCTATAAGTGCTCATAAAAAGTGGATGCAATTTAACATACTCTTGCTGAGGTCCAGGTAACATCCATCATTTCACAGAATTCACACACATATGTATAGGTGCACATATACACGCAACTCATATAGACACACAACTCGTGTACATGCACACATGACACAACCAGCAACATAGAAATTACTTAAATCACAGATACATCCACACTGCACTCAGCTATCTGCCTAAAGCCCTAGGACAGACCACTTGTTTGTAAGAATTGTAAGGGTAATGTTCTAGGTGCCGGCTATTCTCCATCTTTCTCGACTAAAAAGAAAAAGCACAGGTTGACTGCTCTGGAAAGTTTAGGACACAGCGGCACAGGCTGCGCTGGGGATGTGGGCGCTGCGGGTGGTTGCTTTATTGCTCTGCGTGGATGCATCCGGGCTGCCTCCTGTCTTCTTCATTTGTCTCTTCTCCATCTCTTTCCCCCTCTGTCACTCCATCCTCTAAATTGTTTTTTTATTTTTCTGGCTGTCAAGCTCCCGGACGCGCGTCCCCGGTGGGCGTGCGCACAACACACAGACCGCCGACCGATGCACGCATACAGGGCTGTGGGGCAGCGGTGCCCGCGAAGCCGTGAATCCCGAGTGAGCGCGGCGCGCTCTCCTGGGTGGGCGAACTGCGCTCCGGGAAGCAGAAGCTACACGTTTCCACAGGCTGGGGTGAAGCGGCCACCTCGTTGCCAGCCTCTGCCACGGGGCCTGCAAGGACAACGGAGGGCACTGTGGGCGCTGAGGACTGTACCATGCTGCCTGGTCCAGGAGTCCAAGCACTTCTACAGCCACCCCAGGACTTGCCCTTCTGAGCGCCCCTGAAAAGGCTTTCAAGGCCAGGCTCACTTCTCCCTGCACCCCGAAACCATCCAGCCTCCATCCCAGGGTAACCCCCTCCGGATCTCCTCCCAAAGCCGAAGCAAGAACCTGACACCCTTTCTTCTGGCCCTACTACTTGAACCTGATTTCACCTAGGTGCTTCAGGATGTGCGCCAGGCCAGAGTGTGTCTACCCTGGATGCTGGAGTAGCGGTGGATAGCGGAGGAGAGAGAACTGCTGGTGATTGTCAGGGAAGGAACTTTCTATACTTACGGTGGGCGTGGGGAGAGTTTGCTTGTGACCCACGCGGCCCAGCAGGCTGGCTGGGAAGTGGCTCTCCTCTACGCCTGAGGAAAGAAGCCAAGGCCACCAAGAAACAGCAGAAGATGGCACAGAGGCAGATTCCCAGTGTGCAGTAGAGAGTCAGCTGTTCGCTGTTTAGCCTCAATCCTGTGGGTATTTCAGGACAGACAAGAATATGAGTTGAAGGAGGACACCCACTTCCCAGTGCTCCCAAAAGGAGCCATATTTAGGCCTATAGCTACGTGTACCCTCTCCCATTTCAGGACTAAGTGCCCTCCCTACCATTGACTTTCTTTTTACCTCTTTAGGCCCAAGCAATCCACACAGCCATCCCTAGGCCTGCCTCACTGGTGAGGACATAGGATTCCTTTCCTGGCCCCAAGACATTGCTATGTTTTCTGAGTCCTCAAGGAATTGGCCCCTTTAAGCTTCAACTGATGGCACCTTTTTCCAAGACCTTAAGGCTGGACACCTCTGGAGCTGGCCCATTCTGTTTTCTCCACATGCTTTGCAGGTAGGCACACCCAGGGATGGATGGATGCATGCACGCTTGTTTGCAAGGATGGTAGTCCCAGGAGGACGACTCCACCGAGCATCAGGGAGATGACTGAGGAGTCTGGACCCAGGCATGAAGCAGAATGACCCTGGGAAGTGACTGTAGTTCACTTTACAGCTCAGGACTTGAACCTCGGGCTTTGATGAAGGGCTAAGACCTTGTCTCAGCTCAAAGCTTTCTGCTCTTGACATTTCTCCTCCCAAACTATCTTATAGGCCTTGCAGTGCAGGCACTGAGGCATGCTTTGTGCTAGTGAAGTGAGGGGCCACTCCCTTGAAGAAGAAACTGGAAGTGATAAACTTATAAAGGATTTATTAATAAACTTTCTCAGAAAACACTGTTACACAAAAGTAAAGTAGCTAGAGGGGACAACCCTGGTTGACAGTGCTAACTCATCCCTCTTCTCAGGAAGAGCAGAAATCTGCCAGCAGGATGACCCCAGTTATAGCTGCCTGGGGAAAGCAGCACTGCTCTTTCTCTGGAAAATGATGACAGCGTTTTACACTGTAAATCTCCCATTTGTCCAAACAACCAAGCCTTGGAACTTCTGTCTCTGTAGAACAACGTATAATTGTTCAAAGTGTAACTTAGGGCCTGAGCCTATGTAAACTGAGGGAGTGTTTGTCCAGGATCAGTTCCCTTGTGTGCATTAGCCACAACTAGTCACATGCTATTATTCAGGAGCTTTGCCTTAAACTCTTAGGAGTGTTTTCTCACTGGGAAAGCACAGCAATTCTACAAAAACTCAGCCTGTTCTGGGCACCGGGTGCCTTTTGTACTAGACGTTCCTTAATTCTGTTTGCTGATGGGATGGGATGGGGGATGATGGAGGTGTGGGAGGGCCGTCAATATCTTTGTTTTAAAAACTGGGATCTAACTTGTAAACCACCACATTCACCACTGTAGTGAATTTTGAGTGTTTTTTAAAGCATATTCATGAAGTTACAGTAGTATTTGCATTCCTCAATCTGAGGCTATTTTTATCTCCAATGAAAAACTTCCCATCCCATTAATGGACCCTCCCCATCTTCTCTCTCACCTGGCCCCCAATTACATTCATCTGTCCTCTGTCTCTATGGACTGACTGTCCTGTTCTGGACATTTTGTACCTCACCCTGATAGGTTTGGGGAAACTATTCAGGATAGTGTCCATGAGATATTACTGGACAATTGTGTTAAAAAAAAAAAAGACCTGATGGAAAAGACCTGATGGGATTCTACTTCTCTTTTAAGTTGTCTGTTAGATGCTGACTTTAAGAGACTTCTCTTAGTTTCCTGGCATTCACTCCTTATACAAACTGGAGTCTGATGTAACAAACAGCTCACTGCACAGATTCCTTATCCTTCTGCAGGGCTCTGCAGCACGGCCCAGCTAGCTGCATGATTACTATGCAAAACTTAGGTTAATCATGATGCAGAGACATTCTCCTCATTAACTTTGCCTCTTAAAGCTCCCCCATGAAGTTATAATAGAGGAGACCTGATGGCTGACCTCTGAGCTTAAACATGGTCTCCTGCATGTGTGTACATCCTACAGTGGGCAATGGTAACAAAGAGACCAGGAGTCTCACCGATGCCTGTGCAGAACCTGCCACGTGCTCTTTGGCCTGTGTACTTCCTTTAATAAGGGCAAAACTAGCCAACTATTTTAACTACACCCTCGATAAGAAGAATAATACACCAGCAGTCTCACTTGCTGTGTGTTGCAGCTGCTCTGTCACGCACGTGCTCTAAGAATGCACACTGATGTCACTCAGCTGCCTAAGGCTCTGGATCTTCACCACCATTTCTATCATGGCCCCTTTGATGGACCCTCCTCTGGGGGCCTCTAAATGCTGCCCATTCTACATCTCCTCTTTTGCCAGCTCATAAGCAGTCTGTGTCTCCAAGCCCCTAAGCATTTAGGGTGACCTCTGAGAAAGGGGAACAAAGGACTACGAGTTAGACAGATTTCCCAGTAGGGAGACAGTTAAGGAAAGGGACCATGACTAGGTAATAAAGATGGTGAACTTCCAAGATGGCCAGCTTCTTCCTCTGAGACAAAAGCATAGCAGCTTAAAAACAAAGGTCTAATGGGTTTTTCTCAGTGGAGCCTCCTGCTGATGGACTGGCCCTATGAGTTCAAGGCCAGATCAGGATACTACAATCAGCTATTCTGGCCTTGTTCACATCTGTCCTAACCAGCCCTTGCTGGTCATGGTGACACACACCTTCAATCCCAGTACTCAAAAAGCAGAGACCGGTAGTTCTCTGCAAGTTTGAGGTGTGCCCGTCTACACAGCAGATTCTAGGACAAGCAGGGCTACACATAAGTACCAAGTCTGAAAACAAAACCAACCCACCAACCCTAAGTTAGGAAGGAAAGACCCTTAAAAGACTTAGAAAAGAAAAAAGAAAAGAAAAGAAGAGAAACCCAAGCCTTGAAGAGAGACTGGGTTTTCTGAGGCTCCCAAAACCCCACTGTACTCGGTAGAGGATTTTTCTCTCTGTCCCTCTTCTGAGTGAGTCTCCATCAGTCTCAAACTACTAACTAGTCAAGCATTTCCTGCCCCACTTCCGGTCTGACTTGCCTCACCCTTTCACTTTACCCATAAAGGTAGTTTGTGGGGGTACCCTTGAAACAGTGAGGAGGGATTTCCTAAATGGGTTGTACCCCTGATCTTTCAGCAAGACATTTAAAACTGGCTCCTTGACATCTACCCAAGGCGTCTTGCCAGTCAGAAGTGTCCCAACTTCGAAAGCCCCCGTCTGCTCTCGTAAACTCCATTCCTGTCAATTCCCTCCCTCCCGTCACCACCTTTGCTCCACAGGACGCTGAACTACTTCCTTACTGACCACGCTCCTGAAACTACCCACCTCACTGGGTACCCAACTCCCTGCTTTCAATCTGTCTGAATCCTCTTCTGGTCCCCAATATTGCTGAGAACAAGGAGAAGGACCCTTCCCTAGTCTAGGGAAAGCCTTTCAAATCCTTATCACCCCTCCCCATTCAAACTGCGGCCTGTGGGCTCCTAGAACCGACCCCCCCACACACACACCTTACCAGTGTTCCCTCAACACCAATACCTTTTGAGTAGCTCAAGGAACTAATTAATTAAAATAAGCCTATTTCTCCTAGTCAGCCTGCAGCCTTTCACTGCCATGTGTCCCACTGCCTGGGACACATCCATGAGGCAATGTCTGTCAGGCCTCAAAGTGCCCTGCAAAGGGGAAACCACACCAGATAATCATTTTAAACATCATTCTCTGTCTTCAGACAGGACTCTTTGGGGGTTGCAGGACAAACATCTCTGTATGCTTGCCCAGTAGCTGGACTGGACCGATGCTCTTACCTTTTTGTCTCCACCGTTCTCCTTACCCCCCACAAAGCCCAGATCCCTATCTCTACACTCACATCAAGAAGAGCAAAACAGAGCATCAGACCCATCCCTCTTCCTGCCTCTCTGGGCATTCTTCCAGGACTACAAAGGAAGACTGCAGGAGTGAGTTTCTCTCCATCAGTCAATCTCTCTGTCTCAGCAGCCCACGGAGAGCCTCAGTCCCAGAACAGCTGCACACCTTTCAGGCCCACCTCCAGGAATACCACTGCTTCTATACCAACAGATCAAAACTGGTTTAAGATCAGGAACAGAGAATTCAGCAACAAGCCTCTTCTGGATGGGCTCCAGATTGCCGCCCGTCCTGGCTCCTCCCCTTACTCACCCCCCCCCCTTTCTCCTTATCATCCTCATATGGTCAGTTCATCTTGTCTTTTAAACTCTTTACAGAGGTTCCTCCTGGACTGTATCACTGCCTTACCCCAGTTCATCACACCAAGTAGAAGTAAAGACTTCTTCTAGAGTCACTCCAGACTTAAGAACCCCCAAAACAGTGTCTCCCTCGCTCCCAGCAGAAAGTAGCCAGATAGGAAATGGCACCCCCATCCCTTATGTGTAAAGGGTCTTGGATTAAAGGAAATCCATCCCCAATACAAAACCAACGCCCTACATCAAGCCCAAGGTCCCAGGAAATCTGCCACCCATGGAATTCCCAGAAAGTGGCTAATCCCCTGGAAGGTTAGAGTAAAGCAACTGACTTATCTCCCATCCTTCGTTCCAAGAATCAGATCACAGATAATAGAAGCTCGCTTCCTCATTCTGCCACTGACAAGACCTTCCCCTCTTCCCTCTCTGCTCTTAGCTCTACCAGCCCTCAAAACATGCAATTTGCATTGCTCTGCAAGTTCAAATGCTGTGCCTCTGGGTATTGGGGCCTCGTCTCTCAGACCAGCAGATGTCAGCTTTTACCATGGAGGTTGGTCTGAATTTCCTTTTCTTCCTTTCATTCTTTCTTTCCTTTTTTTTCCATTTTCCTCTGATTGTTTTATTCTTACAAGTACCACAAAGTTTGCCACCCACATCAAGCCCTATGGAATCATTCTCTTTAACTCTGTCTGGGCTGGGTACTCTTTTATCCCATGGAATAAGAAGCTCAGAGAAGCTATGTAAAAAGGGACAGCCCTGTAAGGCTGGCTAGGCCATGACCATGTATTGCATATCTCAAAGGCTAAAGGGGTGTGTGTGTGGCTCTTCAGCCGACCTCTTGACCCAAGAGGTCCGGGTCTAGTGCCAGCACTGCAGAATATCAGGGGGAAATTTTAAACAGATTTGAATATTTCACTACAAAGAAATGGTTAAGCGTTTGAGGTAACAGTGTACAACATATGGATGTGACAAACTGTCCCGTAGACTTCTGAAAATTTCATCTAAACAAATTTTTCTACCCAGGGAGTGACCTCCCTGGTTTCTGATATTTGTCTAGAGTCTGGGCATCTTGAACTATGGACACTTGTTATTGCAGCCCAATCACTGCCCAGGCTCCTACCCATCCCAACCTTCAGATGGCTTAGGCACTGGCCTGGGGTCACTTACCTGGACCATGCTCTGGTACCTGGTGCCTTCCTGAGTTATCTGGCCTGGCTTCCACCTCCCCAGCCTGTGGTCTCCTGAGCTCGGGCTGGAGGTTCGCCTGGCTTCTGGGCCATTTCTCACAGACGTGTGCGCACTGCTGAGGGTGCTGCGAGCAGGTGGAGTCACAGTTGACACAGGCCCCCAGGAGTTGGTCGTAGTACTTTCCTTGCTCTTTTCGGCAACTGAAAAATTCTGTAGGACAGAAAAAAAAATGCTTCTGGGAGTTCTGGACTTAGAGGAACTTGGGGTCTGACCCTAGACTACGTCAAAGCAAAGAAACAAAAGCAAACCAGTCCTATAGTTCAGTGTGAAGACAGCAATTCCACAGTGGTTGTCCTCTGGGTACCCTCTGGAATATCACATTCTGATATCTGTATCTATACCTATATTTATCTATATCTGTGCCTATACCTATCTATAGATATGCATCTTCCTGCACCTAGTTCAAGATGTTTCTGAGGGTGTTGTTTTGTTTCTTCTTTGACCCATTAATTCTTCACACTTCTTCATTTCCAAATATGGTCATTTTCTACCTCTATTTACAAATTTAAAGGTTTATTTCTTTTATTTTTATGTGCATGAGTGCTTTGCCTGCATAAATGTCTGTGCACCACATACATGCCTGGTCCCTGTGGAGATCAGATGACTCTGCACTGGAGTTTGGGGTGCAGATTTGCATTTTCAAATCTCCTGAAGGAGAAACACGCTTCAAGTTCGTGGAAGGAATAGAAGAGAAAAAGCCAGAACCTTCCTTGGAGAGTTGGGGAGGGAACTGGGAAAGGCCATGATGATGTGTTGGAGCCACAGCAACCTGCATAGGTAGCAATGGCAAGGATCCCAGCTGGTGACTAGACAATGGGAAGCTAACCTCCTGGGTGAGTTAATCCATCCACAGCTTCACAGCCAGAAAGGCTACAAGGACGTAGTCCGACCTGGAGAAAGTCCACCGGGAAAGGGAGGCACTACCCACTCAGTCTCCAATAAGCTATCATCACCAGTGCCAAGATAGAGATATGTGGCCATGGATTAAGACCCATCCCACGCCGGGCGGTGGTGGCGCACGCCTTTAATCCCAGCACTTGGGAGGCAGAGGCAGGCGGATTTCTGAATTCAAGGTCACCCTGGTCTACCGAGTGAGTTCCAGGACAGCTAGGGCTACACAGAGAAACCTTGTCTCTAAAAACCAAAAAAAAAAAAAGACCCATCCCTCAAACCATGAGCTTTCCTCCTTTAAGACTAATGGAATCTTAAATTTATTTAAAATGTACAAGTGCAGAAGAGATGGCTCAATGGGTAAAGGTATTTATTTGCTACCAAGTCTGATAACCTCCCAAGTATGAGCATACATAAAAATACATTTTAAAAGTGAGAGATAATAAATGTTTGAAAAATGCACAAGTGAAAAAACTGGGTTGGAAATGAAAAGGCAGAGTTTTAACAATTTCCTTTTCTTTTCTTTTTTTTTTTTTTTTGTTTGTTTGTTTGGTTGGTTTTTTTCGAGACAGGGTTTCTCTGTGTAGCCCTGGCTGTCCTGGCCTCGAACTCAGAAATCTGCCTGCCTCTGCCTCCCAAGTGCTGGGATTAAAGGCATACACCACCACTGCCCAGCAACAATTTCTAAAGTCATGTGTGCGGGTGTGCTGCACTCTCCTGTGTCTGTGGGAGCGCAACAAGAGAGCTGGGGAGTTGGTACATGCCTGAAATCCCAGTCCTCGGGATGCTGATGCTGAAGAATCTCAAGTTCAAAGCTAGCCTGAGTCACATAGTAAGACCAGTCCAAAAAGGATGAGAGAGAGAAAGAGAGAGAGAGAGAGAGAGAGAGAGAGAGAGAGAGAGGGAGGGAGGGAGGGAGGGAGGGAGGGCGGGAGAGGGAGAGAGAGAGAGATCTAAAAACATTGTATTTATGTAGTAAATTAACAAAGAACATTTTTTAAAATTTTTTAGGGATGAGATATTGATGAAGGTCATGTGGTGAGGTCTAACTCCCCTTTGTAGTTAGAGAAGACCTCCAGGACAGTGATGAGAGGCACTGGAGGCTGGATGAGAGACGATTAGGGAGAGGCACTTCAGGCAGGGAAGCAGGCAATTGGAAGGCAGGAAAGAACAGACAATGTACAAACAGCTGAAAGGCCGAGAGAAGGAGACCACCTGCATATATCGTTCCTTCACCTGGCTTCAGAAAGGTCGGAAGGGGGGTTCTAGGGGGATGTGAGGGAACAGCTCAGCTGTCCCCTGGCCTTAGACGCTAGAACTTACTACAGAAGTCTGTGCAAGAGCGGGGGCTCCTCTGGCTGCAGGTCAGTGCACAGGAGACACAGGTTTTCCTTGAGGAGTCCCAGTACTGCTCTTTGGGACAGAATGCCATAGCCACGCCCGGCCACCAATCCTGTGGACAGAGAGATGGAGAATTAGGACAGCAGACAGAAAACGCTCCCCTGCCCCATTCTGAGATGTTCTCTGTCTCAGCAGGCAGAGCTGGCGTCCAACCACAGCTGAGGTCAGGGGTGGCTTCTTCACTCTTTAAGCCTCAGTTTCTCATTTGTAAAGTGGTTTCTCTATGGTCCCTCCCTAATATTGTTGTACCCTGTCTGCCTCCACATTGTCCTCCATGTAGGTGTCCTCCCCAGAGTCTCTGCTTACTTCTCCCTCATCCTTGACATCTGTCTGTGCCTCATTACCCATGGAGGACTGTGGGAAAGAGGGCTGTAAAGGATTTGTGTTTAGACAACCCGGCACTGATACAGATATCCAGCACGGACCAAGGTGGCTGATGTTAGACAGCAGAGGGTTATGAGCCAGCACAAAATGGCCGATACTAGACGTTTGGGGAACCCAAAAGCAAACAGTGATGTCATCTCTCCTCTACCTGTCCTTGACAAAATGGCATTCTTGTGTGACTCTGTATAAATATGGCCTTGAGGTCAGAGGCAAGGGCTTTAGCCTTGACCTTTGTCAGCTTGTCTGGGTGTGTCTGCTTGTAGACCTAGATGCCTGTGAGGCCTGTGTGCTCATCTGCAAGTGTGTAGGCGTGTGTCTAGCTAGGTACCTACCATTGTTTGCCTAACAGTCTGTGTGGAAGCCTTCGTCAGAGTGAATAAAGTATCCTTTAAAAAAGATTTATGTGTTTTAATTTTATGTGTTTGTGTGTATATGTATGTATATATATACCACACACATGCCTGGTGTCTGTGGACTCCAGGAGAGGGTGTTGGGTCTGCTGGAACTGGAGTTATAGGCAATTGTACGCTGCTTTACACTTGACACTTGAGTCCTTTGCAAAAGCAGCAAGTGCTCTGAACCATTGAGCCAGTCCAATATTATGCTTCATTTGTCCAAGGCTCCTTCATCTTTTCAATTTCCTTGCCCCATGTGACCCTCCTCTTTTCATGGCATTAGAAAAGGGACCTGGAAGGGACCTTACCATCCCCATGCCCAGGTACCCCGTCTGTACACAGAACCTTTGCTCCTCACCGTGTGGCCTTGGTATTCATGAGGGTAGCTGCTTTCCATCGTTGTTTGAATTTACACGTGATGGTTTGTATATGTTTGACCAGGGAGTGGCACTAGTAGGAGGTGTGGCCTTGTTGGAGTAGATGTGGGCATGGACTTTAATACCCTCATTCTAGCTGACTGGAAGCGAGTCCTCCTAGGAGCCCTCAGATAAAGATGTAGAACTCTCAGATCCTCCTGCACCATGCCTGCCTGGATGCCATCATGTTCCCACCTTGATGATAATGAACTGAACCTCTGAACCTATAAGCTAGCCCCAATTAAATGTTGTCCTTATAAGAGTTGCCTTGGTCACGGTGTCTCTTTACAGCAGTAAAACCCTAACTAAGACACACCACAAGCATCATTTGGAAAGGACTGATCAAAACTTTCTGTCCAGTGCTGGGTCCTCAGGACTTAGCAGGTGCTCACTAAAAAACTAACATGTTCAAAAGCAGACCTGGCCAGTGCCAAGCCTACAGCAGGCACTCAGTGTAGAGTTCTTCCCCTTTCTTGCTCACTGATACATGAAACGTTACAACAATGCTTTGTATTACAGCCCACGCCAAGACTGAGCTCACTTCCTGTGCCTAGTGATTCCCTGGGGCTACCTCCCATTAGCAAAGTGAATATTCTGACCTGTCGCGATGGGTGGGCAGACCCTGTCTGGCATGTTACATGAGCTACATCTCCTCAGAGCTACACTGCGGCAGTCTGCTGTGGCCACTGCTTCTCCTGAAGTAGTTTTCAAGGTGTTTGTTTGCTCTCCAATGAGAGCAAGCTGAGCAGAGCCCCATGCTTTCTGTCTAACTGACAGGCAGCACACAGCCCCTGCAGAAGTCCTCAGAAGCAGAGGGTAGTGACTGCAGCGGCAGGCGGTAGCAGCACCCTGGAAGTTGGCAGGCCCAGGGACAGCACTAGGTCCTTCCTGGCATTGGGAGTGAGGAGAAACTGTCTGCCCTGACTCCCTTCCTCTAGCCTTCACCTAAGCAGAACATGTCAGGTCTGTATAATTTATTCCCTCCACCCTGTGGCTGCCTAGAGGTTAGCAAACACGGTGTGGGAAAATGGACTGTGGGGAGATGCTGAAAGGTACTCTCTGTGGGAAATCTTCCCCAACAGTGGCCAGAATCATGACCAATCAGACAGGAACAAAGCAACCCTGGGGTCACTGTGAGACAGAGGGATGCCTGACCAGAGTGGAGCGGAGAAATGCCAGCTCACAGTGGGCGGATACCCAGTCACACTGGAGCGAGATGACCCCTAGTCACAGTGCTGGTATCACTGAGGCAGGCAAACATAGGGATAGTGATAGTTTAGCGGCATAGACGATATCTTGTATCAGTTACGCAAGCCTGGCTCCTGGTCACCCAGCTCCCTTCCCTGCACATACCATAGACCCACCCCTCTTCAAACAATGCACCTACCAACCTCAGATTCCCATCTATGTGGAGCAACACATCTCTCTGAACAAGGTAAGTTGTTCTGCCCCTAATAACTTTCAAATTTGTTTTTGTTCAAACATATCCCTAATATACCAATGGGAAGAATAGAAAGGCCAATCCAACTTGAACTAATTTGGGGTGCCTATGTGGTAAGACAAAACTGTGTCCACAGGCCAGGAACTTTTAAGGAGAATCCACTATTTACCAGCTTATGCATATGCATGATCAGGCATGCATATGACTAAAATCAGATGCATTATGGGAAAAAACATGTGCAATAGAAAAAATGACTATATGACTATTAATCAGACAAAGGACCTATACCCTAAGCTACCAAATTCTCCTTCTCTTGAACCCCACAAAGGAAAGACCCAAATGGTAACAGGGCCTGAGTACCTTCTTCTTTCTGGTGGCCCCTACTCCTTTGCTGTGTCCTCTGATCATTTCTATTGCATTTTGTAACATTTTCTTGCTACTTTGTAGTCTGTATGAGTTTTTGTTTCATTCTTGAATAAATACCAAGAATCTGCACATAATCAGTGCAGACAGCTACCCCAACCCCTGGTTATAAAACCTGAGCAACGAGGGCCAACAAGAGCTAATATTCAGACTGCTATGAACCGAAGTGTCTCACTACTAAAACAAAACACAACAAAACAACAAACAAAAAGCAAAAGAGCACAACAACAAAACCCTTCAGTTTATTAGAAGTATGCAAAAGACTCTAGCAGACAATTTTAAAAGGAGAGACAGAAATTGCTCACAGGCATCAGAGAAGATGCCATGGCTCGGCAGCCATGGCTCATCAGAAAGCCACAGCTGGCTCCCCAACCCTGGTTAGAAAGGCTGCTATTAATGGCCAGATGGTGGAGAAAAAGAATGTTTACATATTGCTGGTGTAACAATTATGGAAGTTTCTTTTAAAAGTAAAAATAAAATCCGTGCATGGTCTAGCAATTCTGTCAGTGGGTACTGTGGTGATTTGGATGAGAATGGCCCCCACAGCCTCATATGTTTGAAGACTTGGACCCCAGTTGGTGTCCCCTTGTCGGAGGAGGTGTGGCCTTGTTGGAGGAGGTGTGGCTTTGTTGGAGGAGGTGTGGCCTTATTGGAGGAGATGTAGTCTTGCTGGAGGAGGTGTGTCACTGTGGGCCCACACCATTCCTAGTGTTTCTCTCTGCCTCTCTCTGCTTAGTTCATGGGGATAAAAAGGTATTGCTCCAGCACCATACCTGCCTGCCTGCTGCCATGCTTCCCACCATGATAATCACGGACTCAAACTCTCTGGAAACAGGAGCCCCCAGATTAAACACTTTTATAATCTTTCTTGGTCAGGTGTAACTGGGACAGGCATTTATCCAAAAGTAATGAAATTAGAAGATTAAGGCATAGCTTCACTGCATGATTATTATAGCTTATCATAATCATCAAGATTTGGAATTAACCTAAATGGTCAACGATGAATGAATGTATAAGGAAAATGTGATATCTATACGATGGAATATTACTCAGCCATGAAAAGGACGAAGTTCTGTTTTGTTTGAACAACATAAATAGATTCAGACGGCATCATTGTAATCAAAATAAGCCAAACACAGAAAAGCAAAAGTTATATGATCTCATTCTGGGCTATCAGTAATGTCAAGTTATAACAGCAGAGCGAGCAGTGGCTGCGGCAGCTGAGGAAATCCGGGTGGACAGAGTGTTGCCGCAGCTGAGGAAACCCGGGTGGACAGAGCCATGTTATAAGAAGATGGGAGGATGTGCTTCTGTTCTGTTGCTCAGCAAGGAGACCACAGTTAACGATAATGTCTGTCTGAAAATCACCGGAAGAAGGGTTCTTAGCTCTCAACACACACACACACACAACAAACGTCAGGTGGTAGATAAGCGGTCACCCCGGTGTCATCGTTACACAATGTAGACACATGTTGAAAAGTCACCACATCCATAAATATGTACAACTGTTAGGCACTGACTTAAATCTTTAAAAAGAAACAAAGACCCAAAACTTCCTAGATCTGAAGAAAGATAGGAACATACAAGTGAGAAGCTCAACACGTTCCAAGCAGGAGAACCTCACCCACACCAGGCCTGCTGCCCCAGGCCTGCAGGAGAACCTCACATACACCAGGCCTGCTGCCCCAGGCCTGCAGGAGAACCTCACATACACCAGGCCTGCTGCCCCAGGCCTGCAGGAGAACCTCACATACACCAGGCCTGCTGCCCCAGGCCTGCAGGAGAACCTCACATACACCAGGCCTGCTGCCCCAGGCCTGCAGGAGGACCTCACCCACACCAGGCCTGCTGCCCCAGGCCTGCAGGAGAACCTCACATACACCAGGCCTGCTGCCCCAGGCCTGTGACTCCAGCCACCTGGGAGAGACTGGGGCAGGCTACTCAAGACTATCTCAGAACTGAAAGTAGTAGATAAAGTAAACATTTAAAAGGC